TTCTACAGATATTCAGTGTAGTTCACGCAAGTGATAAGCATCGGTGATTTTGTTTTTCATCAATTCTGTATGAAGAATGGAAGTTGTCGAGTTGGTTTTGCGTGAACTATATTGAGAGTGTATTTTTGACTCACAAACAATTGGTTAAGTAATGCAAATGTCCAAAATGTGTTCACTTAAATCACTGTTCTTCGAAACCACTATCTCATATGATTTGTATGGAACTTACTCAAAAATCCATTTGTTTTAATCCAGTTAAACCTGTCGATGAACATACCAATGATCATCATTTGAATGAGTAAATCGGTTTCAAATATAAAGAGAACGACTATAGATTATCAAGTTTTCACTATATTTTTGTTAGGAATATTAGATTTGATGAATTTTAAAGTATCTTTTCCAGAACAATAAAACTAAGTAGGCAAAATGTTATTCACAAATGAATGACTTATCATCAACAAACTAACGTTTTGTTTAGTTATAAATTGCTCAAGGCTCACTGTAGTTTTCCAATGAAGTTTTGGAAAGTTTCGTTTATTATTGTCTACACTCTACAGATGTTCCTTGTCATTTCACACGCATGTATTCTCTACAGTGCTTGTCATTTTTGCACATATAATCTAAAGTATTGTGGGAAGTGATGAATTAAAGCCTAAAGATTGAAGTGTGTTTCATTCACATTCTTCATAATTATAAACATATGAATTTTGAAGTTGATATGGAGGGACCTAACGCAAGATGGGATTTGTAATGAATATACCTTACCGCACAGTAGACAAGTTGTGTATTTCATGATTTCCTATGATGCTACTCTGTTTTATGCGGACGTTTATCAACGAAAGTTTCCAAACTTGTTTAAAAAGTGTTCTGTTGGCTTGACTGGATAATCTATTTGTTACTGTTTGATATTATAGGTTTATAAAATGATATCGATAATTTAAATGGATAATAGTTAAGTGCAACCGAATTGAAATAAGCATTGATGATTTGTTCACGTAGATGGTTTGAGGTGAAATAAATCATTCCATCACTAGTATATTCAAAAACGTTTTACACAATTAACCTTAAAGCTAATTAATCCTATCAACGTGTTCTAATCCTCTGAGTGTGGATATTGATCATGAGTGTATTGAAAAGTTATCCTGCTTAGAGAAGATTAGTTTAAGCACCAAACGTAACATGTATGGTTGGATTGGAGTTGAATAATAAGTGGTACATGTAGCTGATTGTATTTTGTGTGACATTGAATAATGAAGGTATTGTGGTTAACTTCAATAATTTGTATTTCATGGAAGTCTAAACACATCGATCACACTTGGAATCAGAGAGACGTAATGCGATCTCGGCCATTGATATCTGTGCTTAGAATGAAATGTCAATTGTAATTTGAGAGGAGAAGCTTTTGATCTGAAATGAAAATTTGAAGGGAAAATAAATAAGATAAGGATCGTAAAAAAAACAACGATAACAAACATATTAGTGTAAGGTAGTGTGATAATAATAATAATAATAATAGTAATCGGGTAAACAGAAGGGTACAATCAGAAGAAATCTTTCAGTTAAGAAAGAAGAAATCACTTTTTATGAAGAAAGTAAAAGAAGGTTACAGCAGGATCGCCACTGGCTTCTATCCTGAGCCATATCTGATAACGTCTCTAGCCACTGTGTTACACCATCTCTCGGACCCCAGCCAGAGAGTCGTGAAAGACCAACACAATCCAGCCCTTTGCAGCCTTCTTTCATACCATGACACTGTCAGAGTTCATACACCATTTGAAATTGTGGCATTTATTAGCAATAGCGAATTTTGAACAGTGAAAATTCAGGTGAACATTTAGGGTGTTCGTGCTATGTGTTTGCGATTTGTATGGGGTTGTTGGTAAGTTCTGCAGTTACTTGAAGTCAACAGGGATTATTTGTAAGTATTACAGTTATTTGAAGTTAACGGGGTTGAAAGTTAACTTTTCATTCAACTGAGGACTGGAGATACTGCTCCTCAAGAACTTCATTTCAGCGACTCAGTTCGCGCAGTGAAGTTTTACTCTTTTGCTCGGTTTGTGTTGCGCTTTATTTATGTCTATCAATAACATTACTGTTTTATAAACATCCTGAGAATCTATTGAGAATGGTAACTTTATCGTAACTTTCTGAATAATGATCAACATCTAGGACATTTAATTAACTACTAATCGTTTAATAATCCCCAAATATTAGGCGTTTACTTGTATCATAATCCTCTGCTTGGATTCTATTACACTGTGCATAGTATTGGTTGATCAACACATATAGATAATTTATGTAACTTCATAATATTGTAAAACAGAGATTTGTTTTTTTTTTCAATATTTGAAGTTCCAAGAAAGAATCCTTTTTGAAGTAATGTGTAAATAGTTTACGACTAGTGATCATCTGAATGTCTATCTATACAGTGATTCGACAATTTTAAATACAACTAAATTTCATTCATAATGAATGGTACCACAGAATGAACTGTGAATCGATTACTTTTTAATGCTTTAGGTATTTTTTTAAAAGAAAGTTCTGGATAAAATTATGCGAATAAATAATTTTTATAATATATCGTTTTGCGCATTCTGTGCCTCAATCAATTTAAAAAGTACATGTATCTTAATAAAATGATATATTCAATTAGGAGAGGTAATTGTGAACGGTCTGATCTTTACATGAGAATAACGCCAAATTTTGATTAATAATCTGAATGTTTTTTAATGAATTCACTTCTGATGCCAACTCATGTCATGTTGTATCCCATTCTCAACTTGAAGACTTAGATGATATCGTTTCTTTTGAAACATTTTACATCACATTTTAGTCCTGATGTTGTCCCAAGTTTTAATTGGTATATGTGCGAATCAAGGTTTGATCCTATTTTTCAAGTAAGATTAGTTTAATTTCGTTCCAAACCTGTTACAGTACCAATATAATTTAGATAAAACTTTACTTTCTAATTCTATATGAAAGATTTGTTGAGAAAGATTTTCTTCCTTTAGTATTTCCCTTGTTCTTTCTTTCTTTACTCACAGCGCTAAGTTACTTGTTAACATTAAGTAGTTTATCTTCAGATATATTAATAACTTGAACAATGTTTATAGTGTGACAAACTCTTAATAGCGATATTATTAATGGTAATAATAATATTAATAGTATCATTAATAATGATCGACGTACATTTTATTGAGTAATGTAGTGTGTATAGTTGTTGTGACTTATTTAGAATATTGATTCATTCTGATAATTGTTCAACTGAATTTCAATCCAACTATCAAGTTTTAAATGTACTGTCTTGATTACTACATCGAATCGATAGAATGTAGCTAGCAGTGGAATTCATGGCGCACGCTTCATGAGACTATTTATCTAGTTGTACTTGCATTCCATTGTTGATTTACACTTCGGGATTTGAACCCAATATCTCTCACTACAAACTATTTCGAATTAAATTCAGTACAGTCTTGATGTTCAAGGAAATTTTGGGTAAGTGAATATGTTATGATAGAATTTGAAAAATAATTCCCTACTTAGATCTGACAAATGAAGTTTCCTTGATCAAGTTTACCCAATAATTTGTTTGTAAAGTATACTGATAAACCTGACGATTATTTCTTCGTAAGCTAATATTTATGCTTACGATAAAACTAATGCTTCAGAAGGTTGGTATTCAAATTTAGGCCCTTATGAATATATAGTGTAGCTTTTATTTACATCCGGTTGCTTAATTTTCACCAAGAAAGTGTACCTATAAATATCCCAAGTGAATAAAGTTGCATTAAAGTGATATAAAGTTAAACAATATTGATAGGTACCAAGGATTCTAGTTTGGGATTTATTCTTTACATTTATACACTTACATATTGTAAGTTGTCTTGTTATACCAGATTGGACTGTATACAATCTCGGTAGCATTTACATCAATCTACAAACATTTGAAAAAAGTGTAAAACAATGTGATTTATTAAACTTGTTTTATGAGAGATATTTTCTCATTTGATGGTGATTTTCATTGTGAACTGACAAAACTCCATCACATTCATCCACCTGAGCTACAAATCTTCTTCACTATTTTTCTCTAGTATTTCATATTTCTCACAAACAACGTTATACGAAATGTAGCTGATGTTAATTCGTGATGAAAATCAGCGTAGTATGGATTAGGAGTTAATTAATTTGTAGCGTGGTGTCGAGTTTAGCTTGACTATGAACACCGCTACCAGACTACGTGCCAATAGACCAATAAGATTCCGGTAGGCCAAAAATCAGAAGGCAGATGATAGTAGTAGTTGTAATATATTTGTTGACAACCTCGTGGTATCGAAAGAATACCGAGATCGTGCCAAAGGAGTACAGATGCGATCGGCAAGAAAAGGTGCGTGCGTAGTCGAAAACCGCGTAGAAGGAATGGAATACCAAAATGGCTGTTATTAGCACAGTTAAACAAACGAACACAATAAAACAATCACTGGTACAATTGGTTATAATAATAATTGTTTTCATCGAACCAATCGCGTTCTGTTGACAAAAGTAGGTCACTACAAACTGTAAGATATTAGGTGAACAGCAGAACAGAGACTACAAGTATAAAAAGAAAGATTAGTTGGTAGCTTGTAAACATTCAGAAAGAATATCTGATTTCTTGTGTTTCATGTCATTTTACATAGGTGGTTTTGAGGTTATTATTCTGGATGGCTTATAATTTAGCATATCACTTATTGAAGTAACTGACCTCATCTCTTTGTTCAACTAGGACAAATTTCAAGATCTTCGTAGTATACTATTAACTGTCCACATCATCTTATAGAACATTTTAATTTCATGATCGAACTTACGTATTTTCGAAATTGTCCATCTTTCAGTCCAAAAACATGTTTTTTTTATACTTAAACCATGACTTACAGAAGAAAAACATTAGTGATTATTGTCTGTGAACAATTTTCAAGACTACTGTTCTTGTAATAAATGTTGCGTTTTCTTTTAAATTTCAGTTTGACTCCAGCTTATCTATTAGTCTTAATACTGTATATTGGATTATTTACTCATGCTTATGTCGGTCCAATGTATCCTCAAACTCCCAATTTGATGGATATAAAATTTTGTCGTGATCATTGGTGGATAACATATTTGAATAATTTTATTTATCCGGATGAAGCGGTAAGTGACCGACAAGCTGTTCTATGAAATATGATGTATGAATCTGTTTAATTTATTGCTTTATAAATGCAAGAGATATCATCTTTAACACTATGAACTTTTTGGGAATCAGTAAATTCGTCTTATAATAAACATTATGTATTTCCATGACTGGATGAAGTGAAAATGATTATCAGTGACTAATTCGAAACACAGCTACAAAATTGAGTGAATCCAAGCTTATGAAATTTGGTTGTGATATATCATAAACGAGTCACATAACTATTAAATTTTAGAAGAGTAGATTGGTATGTTTACAGTAACTGAAAAAGATAGTACTTCAAATGGATATCGACTATCTAATCTTTCTAATAAAAAAATAATAATCCCTATGAGTGCAAACACCAAATATTCTGGTGTTTTGTGACTCAGTGTAAGTCACTTCTTCTGACAATAAATAACTAAACAAAGTGCTTCAATCTCCACTATTCCTCCATACTACGTTAAATCAACTCGAAGAGTTTAGATATTGAAACATAATAAGACAAAACTATTCATTACAATCAATCAGAAACATGCCTCACTATGTCAACTTAACGTCGATCCGGTCAATGTGATTTCTGTGATGCAAGTTAGTGCATTTTTTTGTGTTGATGTTTGTTTATAATGTGACATTCGTAATATGAAAGGATAAAGTGGAATTCCTGTGATAAATATGTGAAATGTACATGGATTTAGACATTGTAACTCGGATAGATAGTCCAAAACAGATGAATAGTAAGGCTCTTTTTTCTTCCAATCCATTTATGCTTTATATCTGTTTAGTGGACAATTATCACCTATATTTCCGACTTTAATTATTTTCACACTACTACTCTTCTCTAACCTTTTGATCAAAACGTGACTTTCTCGTGAAATTTGACATCTTATTAGAAATCCACCCAATGCTCAGTGTATTTAAACGGTCAAGTCAACTTTTGGCAATGATACCTGTTGAATGTTTTTTGTTTATTGTTAAAATTCACTAATTCTGTACATAGTTATTCAAATAATGGTTGGAAATCTGAAAAAAGACATTTCTTCTCAGACATTAAATACACAAGTTAAAGTATTTTAGTAGTCGAATTGATGGGTCAGTCTAATCTATACCACCATTGAAAACGTGAATGCTCTATTCGATATCCTCATGATTTATTTTTGTGAAAATTATTCATTTTTCAGTGCATGGGTTGGTCATGGTATTTATCAAATGAAATTCAATTTTCAATTGTATTATCTCCAATCTTCTTATCTTTATTAGCATGGTAAGAAAGGTGTGACAGTTTAGTTGAATAACTGTGATATTGTTGTGTAAATTATAATGAGTGAACTTGTATCAATGAAGGTGTTACTTAATATTTATTGACATTCATTTGAATTGAAAATATTTTAATAAAAGGTGGATAATTTTTGGTTGAAACATCAAAATCCCTGCAAGTAAGTATTCATGAATACTATCGTACAATTGACCTCAAGCGTCTTTTCTTAATATCCTGTTGGTTTGTCTTCTCCCAGAGTAGTTTGTTGCTGATGATATTCGATCAACGGACACTGAGTATCTTACGTAGACAGTTGTTTATAAATAAACTGTACTGTTTTGATGATAGTTGTAGTAGTCGTCCAAGTTTGAGCTCCTCAAAGTTGAGCTATCGTGATGTTCGTATTGAAGATTCAGACTTCAATGTCGGTTGACAGTTTTTTTGAGATCCATATATTCTTTAGTTCTAGTAATGCACCCTTGCTTTGCCAATCCATGTCTTTATATCTGCATCAGATCCTCATTGTTTATCAATGATGCCGTCCAGGTACGTAAAAGCTTCCACCTCTTCCCGAGCTTCTCAATCAAGTATAATTAGTGTTCTTTGTGTTGTATATGCGGATTCGCCTTGTGCATGTTTAGGTCTACTGCTGCAGATGCTGCTGCAACACTGGCTATCTCCATCCACATTTGTTGCTGTATGCGATAGCAGAACTATCATCTTAGATGTTCAATTCTTCTAGTTGCATCCAAGCTGTCCATTGTATTCCGAGCCTACCCCGAGATGTGGAGTCAACCATCAGAAGAAAAAGAAAGGGGGGAGAGTAGGAAACTTTATCTGACACCGGTCCTCACTTGAAATGCCTCTGTCAGCTGTTTATCATGCAAAACTATGCACTGTGGTCCGTCATATGAATTCCGGTTGATGTTGACAATTTTCTCAGGTACAGCATGGTGTCGAAGAATTTTCCATAAGGTTCTCCTGTCCACTCTGTCAAGTACTTTCTCATAGTCAAGAAAGTTAAAGTTTAGTGATGAGTTCCATCCAATAGAATTTTCAACATTGATCGTATTGAGGCAGTTTGGTTTGTGTACGACCGATTGTAACGGAATCTGTCCTGTTGATCTCGAAGTTGGTTGTCTACTGAATCTTTCATTCAGTTCAATAAACCTCTGTTGAAATCGTTTCCTGTTACCGATAGTAGTGTGGTTCGTTTGTAGTTCTCACAATTGCTCAGATCGCCTTTGTTTTGTAACTTGATGAGGTGTGATTCTTTTCAGTTTGTTGGCACTTGTCCTTCCTCTCAAATCTTCCTGCATGGAACGTGGAGTATCTTTGCAGCTACCTTTATTCAAAGTGTTCTGCCCACCTATTCCTTTGTTCTTAAGTCTGAGTGATTGGCTCGTTTTACTTTGTGTTTGACTGATCGCTTTTACTTACTTACTTAAGCCTGTTACTCCCAATGGAGCATAGGACGCCTACCAGCATTTTCCAACCCACTCTGCCATATGCCATCCTTTCCAGTTCTATCCAATTTTTGTTAATTTCATTCATGTCTGTCTCCATTTCTCGGCGTAATGTGTTCTTTGGTCTTCCTCTTCTACTTTGGCCTTGAGGATTCCATGTGAGAGCTTGTCTTGTGACGCAGTTGGGTGCTTTCCTCAAAGTTTGGCCTATCCACCTTTTTTGGTTTACTATATTTCCCTGCCAGTTCCTTCGTTATATCATACAGTTGTCTCATATTTACTTCTCTTACACTCTTGGCCTCTGTCACTGCTGGATTTTCTACATATTTCTGCTTTTCGGTTCTGATGCTCTTCATTATCCGTTTGTTTCCTCCTGTGTATTCGGCTTTTGTCTTGACTTTCTCTGTTCTTGTTCGACTGATGTTGATTGCTGTTTTCTCGTTCTTCCTTTCTTGAATTCTGTCCAGGGTTTCTTAAGAGATCCATTGGTTATGTTGATACGTCTTGCAGCTCAGAACTTTCTGGCAAGTTGAAGTTAGTGCTTCTTTAACCCACTTCGGTTGTTCTCGGTAGTATGTTCCACTTCTTTGAGTAGATCCTGTAAGGCTTGGAACCTGATAATCAGACCATGTTTTTATTATCGAAATTGCACAATATTTATTAATGAGTTTTCCATTTAACTCTCCAATTAGTCAATCAATTAATTTTCTACATCGTTAAATTACTTTTGATGATTTTTAGGAATGAAACTATCGGTGTACTGTTTGGTTTTGGACTTGTAATTTCCAGTATCGCGTCCACATTTGGTATATCTTATGCGAATGATTATTTACCTGGTGTTCTATCAACGTAAGCTAATGAATGTTATAATTTATTTACTCAATTCTTCCATGTATTACTAAGGTTGTGTAGACGTGAACAAATTGAAAATCACTGTAGTACAAATGTCTAGACGACATTATTGAGTAGGCGTCCTTATACTGACTAATAGATGAAAATATCAAATAATCACTTCCAAATACTGATAACACTATAACTATCGATCGTGACTGGAAAGTTATTTGATTTCAGCTGGATAGAGCACTGATCACGATCTTAGCAGTAACTTTACTCAAATTTTCGAGTGTACGACTTGCTTCAGTCAGTTGCAGAAATAATTCGAAAACTATTGAACTAGAAAGAATTGAAAAATATTTGTAACAATTCTTTAATTTTCTAGAACATGTGGTGAAGCTGTACACATTGATAAACTAAAAAAAAGATAGATTGAAACCTTTTTCCAAACGTGTGAGCCATTATCATTGCACGGTCGTGCAAACCGAAGTATATGTGGCAGGACACGAACGTGGGATTTTGTGTCGGGATTACGAACACCTAAACTACTACCCCATCTCTTGCTTAAATCAAGAGAATTCAATGTTTCTTTTTAAAAACGAAACGTGCAATAGAGTAGTAGACATTGTACAACGTTTGGTAGTTCGATCAATCAGTTGGAATCCTGTTTACCTGAATCTTTTATGTAAGTTATCACTCTTCAGCAAAGCATGTCTCCATTGATGAGTCGGTACTTGGCAACCTACTCAATAGAATTCTCTAAGCAGCAGAAACTAGACAAACATGAAATTGGTTGCCATTCAGTGCTGAGTCAGTCCACAACTTTGATAATTAAGGAGACGTTACTGGGAATCAGAAATAATTCTGATTTTGTTGAAAGTTATTAGTGTCAGATGTCTGTCATGCTGTCACAACACAAAAGAATTTCTGTGATTAGTAATACTCAAAACAATTAGAGAATACACAAATTTGGTGAACGACAGATTTTGTAGTTACATGGTATTCAATCCATGTAGTACGTGATGTGTAAAAGTAATGTATATGTGTGGAGTTTTTTAGTGGTAGACCAGTGGGAGATGTCAGGTTGTATTTGATAGTTCTTAAAGTTGGAAAACAAGGTAGATCTAACGAATACAGATTGCAAATCAATTGACGTAAGCTACCGGTTGTGATGTAGTTAATTTGAATACTGAAGGGGCTACTGTTGAGAAAATTAAGTAAGGGCAAAATGGACAGTCATTGTTTATTGCAAAGTCAGTGAACGAATTCTGTATGCTCACTCGGTTGCAGACAAAGGTATTGTCATTTCTAAAACAAGCAGGAATGCTTTTCTTCGAGTGAATTGGCTAGGGTATATTAACGCAACAACAAATCCACATTTCCTTCTTTAAATGTAGTCTAAGCTAAACATTCATGTATGTCTTCCGTTGAGTTTTATTGAAAATGTTTTTGAATGACCTGATAAATATCTCCTGTATATTAACTTATCTAGTTCATCATTCACAACTATTTACATAAAACCGTATACACGTTGGAGTACTTATGCTATTGGTCTTTTATTGGGTTGGTTCCTCGAAAAACATATCACTGTTTTGGAAGTAAGTTTTTTAACTGAATAAACTTAATGAACACCACCCTGGATCTCCAACTTCTGAATGCTTAATTTTTGTTCGTTTATCTGAATTATTCATGGATGGAAGACTGTTTTTGTTACACTGTGATGTTAATTCGATTTGAAACACTCGATTATCACTCTCTTAAACTAAACTTACTCATATAGTTTAGTTATTAACCAGTTTGACAATTGGTTCTACACTAATATTTATATATGTATGACTTACAACAATGAGAGAATACTCATTTAATAGTGGCGTTATGTAATAATTACATTATGTCACTGACTATGAACTAGTCATAATAATAATAATACTGGTAACAATATTTTGATTTAGATGAAAATATGTGAATGGACAGAAATGATTAATAATTGCTCTGAATTTCGTAACACGAAATACTGAGTAAAATATTTAATATGTGTAGTTTATGGTCGTTAGTTTCATCCTATTTGTTACTTGTTAGTTAGATTATCAACAGTTCAGTATGAACACTGGTGCATTCACTCTTTGTCTTCACAGAGAACAAGTTTCGAAATTATTTCATAAATTTTATCTAAATATCATTCCACCCATCTGTAGATTCATTTCGAATCGTATCATCGGAGCTAATGCTGTTACCATCTCGAATGTTCTGAGATTTACACTGAAAACTTCAACCTTCAGTGCAAATAAGAAGTGGTAACTCCAAACAATGTAAAGATGTGGCATGTTCTATTTTAGACGAATGGCTGACAAGGCGAGATCCCTCTACAAAAACATAGATGTGATTGCAAATAACAGTATCTAAATACTTATCTTTCAAATTATTTCTTTCACTTAACCAACTATTCGTTGTACTGCCTTTATTAACGAGGTTTCACTCTATTTTTAGAATGTGAATTCAAAAACGAAGGCTTTGATTGGTGTGATTGGTGTATGCCTGTCATCAATATTCTGTGTATCTACTGTCTACGGATTGTATGGACTACTAAGTGGGAAGGTCGGACCATTCACAACGTTTGGAGCTGCAACCTATACAGCATTCCATCGACCTATTTTTATTCTCGGTATTGCAATCGTTGTATCGATATGTGCTCTTGGTTGTGGTGGTAAGTCAGAGTGTGAATAATACGATATACGACTTTATGACAAATATACTGTGTCACATTAGTTTGAGGGAAACTGAATTCCTTTTTGTATTATTCCATGTTTACACAGGTCCAATTCGTTGGATTCTCACATTGTCTGTATTCCGTGTTCCTTCACGGTTGACATATACAGCTTATCTTGTACATCCGATAGTGGTTCTATTCATCGCTTTAGGAAGTCAGAACCCAATATTGCTGGATGATCTGCATTTGGTGAGTCCTATTCTGAGTTATCAAACGTAATTGAATGTTGTGAACATGATTTAGTGAGTATTCTAAAATTCAGTCTGGTTGCTGATACATCTTTATAACATAACTGACTAGCTTGAATTTTGAAGTATGACAATTTAGAGTTATCTTGAATAGTTTAGTTCGGAAGCAGAGATTTATTTGAGATACTGCAGGAAGTTGATCAGAACTTTATATCGTGATGCTGAACATCACCTTTCAATGACCAAAATCTTGCACTGATTCTCATGACACACATTTAAGTTAACAATCCACATATTTGATATTTTTATGCCAATTCTCATGGTTACTGTGATGGAGTTGATTCTCCAGTTAATTTGTCAAACAGATATTACTGGTCTCTTATGTTCTATGAAGTAATTACTTGTAACATTTCACCTTCTGAAGTTAATTAATTATGGAGGATTGAATATAGTAGAAGAGGTGTTCGTCATAACAATTCACTAAGAATCAAACAGTGGACTGTTAAAGTAAACAACCGAACTATCTATTGTTTTCTTTGACTTAAAGTGTATTGTTGTAAAGTGTCGGTGTTGGTCACTGTGGATCGTTGTGAATCACCAACCACTCCCATATTTGCACTTGTTTCTTAATTAGATTACTTCACAAAGTACTTTCGAGTGAAACAAAATGCACCAGAATAGCCTGTGTTTTTACAGTTAACACTAAATTTACACGTGGTGTTGGTCGAGTAAAATGTAATATTTTCTCGTGTATTTTCTGTCGAATTATTATGATACTATTGTCACATAACATGATACTTGCCATCTACCTTCATAAATCCATATTGAAAGTGGTAGTTTAGGAATTGACCAATATTCAGATTGTGCTTTCTCAATCCTCGATCACTATGTCGAACAGGTTTTACAGTATTTAAATGCAAAGCAGACAGTTAAACATGTGATTTGATGTAAGTCAGATCTGTTAGTGAATTTCTCTTAAATCATAATCAGTCCATATTATTGTGGTTCTACAACGACTGAGTTTATTTGAATAATCAGAGCAGATTTTGTTGATAAACCGAAGTTGTCCAAGTGAACCATGGTTATCTGTTCTCATTTGATATATTTTGGTAGTGAATAACGATAGAGTATAGAGTGATTACTGTATGTTGAAGCGTGACGACTTACGTTTGTATTCACTGGATTCTTCGTGAAAATCTCACGATTATATCGTTGAATGTGTTAACTAAATTCTTCTCCTGTTCCATCTACAAATGTTCAGACACTTTTCAAACTTTGAAGACTGTTGTAATAAGGTAGATAAACAAAAATATATTGAACACACGACCTTTTTAAGAGTGATTTTTGTGTTAGCTCCGTAACTGTTGAGACCTTAACGCCAGAGACGGATATCCGTGGGATAAAGCGAGGTGTGCATTTTTAAGGTCGACCTTTTCTAACTCTACCCCACCTTGTGGGAAGGCAGCATTGCTGTTATGCTGATTGTCTGAAGGAAACACCTTACTGTTGTCACACCTCTGTACAGTCGGCAGAACGACTTTGCCTTCGGACCTTGAATTTGTTGCTTTTAGTCTTACCGCTCTTCAACCGACCTGTCTGGAATGGTAGGACCTCGAGGAACGGTGGTTCCAGCCAGTATAGCTTGATTGTTTCATCACGATAAGCAAGCCTGACCACCACGTTAAGGTAGCAACAACGGTCGGGACATACATACATTCAAACAATCAATACAAACATGAATATATTTATATATGTTAATACGGTTGGTTTAGTACAAATACAATTGACTGTTTCAATCTCTCTCCTTCCAGATCGTTATGTTTTTTGCCGTTCTACCAATTACTTATTGCTTGGCATACTTGGTCACACTGGCAACTGAGTCACCAGTAATAGCTATGACTCATAGTCCTGGAGGGAAGAAGCCTTTGTCATCAGAAAGTTCCATGTAAATGAGTAAAATCTAGTTCAATCAGGTTTCACTCCTTGTCTTTCTCGAAGTTATCAGTTTGTGTATACTCATGTAAAGCTATGGAGTTTTACTTAGAATATTTTTCTATTACTATTTTCCATTTTTTATAGTCAAACTAGTACCATATTCGTGAAGAATTTTGAATAAGATGATAAGTCCGTTCTGTGATATAATCTAGTCATTTTTGAATTTACCCTTGTAATTTAACAACATGAAACTCCATTCAATCCCTATTGCTTTTTTATTTCCATTCTTGTTGAATTCAGTATTTGAATTCTTGTGATTGAGTGATTTTGTTTGAATAAACAGATTAACATGTCAGATTATTCAAACTATGGTATGATTGAGTTCATGTTTAGATGAAATGTAGAACTTCATTTACTGATCATAATTCTAATCTGTATTTGATGAGTGTATCATAATAATATATCAATGACATTATAAACAATTAAATGATTTCAATATTCACAGGGCTACTGGTGATTCTGGCTCAATGAAAACATTACTGATACTTAAAGGTAACACAATGAACACATGTCATGGAAACAATTCCATAATTGTATATTCTAAGTTCATTCAACTTTAATTATCATTAGGCATTGATTTCTAAAAACTTGTCTCTTATTCTTTTAGGTTCCAGTCATTTTTATATGACAGTAATATGATTAGTAAACTGTAGATAAAAGAACGAGTTTTATTGATAAGAATTTATTTTATAATCAATATTTTGTTGAACTACAGAAGTGGTCTTTACGTGAAGCATAAATTCATTTTTGCAATATGTTTATATACGATAAAGCTGGAGAAAGTCATGAATTGTTTAACAGATATAAAGGAAATTGACAAACATAAAAGTCATAATAATAAAACACTGGATGATAATCAAGCAAAATTGTATAAAGCTAATAATAACTGATTTGAGTTTAAAATACAAGACAGTAATTTAAAAAATTCAATAATAATCAAAGTGCAGAAAAACAAAAATAAAACATACTCATTAAGTGAATTAGGTCTAAGAAAGGATGAAAGGTTGAACAAATCGTTTTTGCACGCAGAGTTCGGGCTTAAGTTTGTGGATTGCCTGTGCCTCAGCACTGCATAAAGTATTGATTCAACAGCCTTTCGATCCAATTCCTTTAACTCTGTAAATCACTTTAAAAGAAGACTACTTTGGAGAAATGTATTCACAGCTGATTAAATACTCTTGTATAGAACTAGTGATTGTTTTACATTCTCCTTTTAAAAGCCAAGCCGGATAGTGTTCTGCAAAATTGACCGCTTTGTGTGGCCTATGTAACGTGCTCCACATGAACAAGTAAATTTATAAATACACATTGATATGGCCCAAAGCGGAAGTTTATCCTTAACACATCCAGGAATGGAAGGTCGACTTGAGAAAACCATTCAGAGCTTAGCTGTATAAAAAGTTTTATTCAATGATTTTGAAATCCGCTTATTTAAGATTTCAGCAGACCTATCTCCTTTAAATTCCATATTCATGAACAAGGTTTTCTTCTGTACTGTCGATACTTTCTCATGATGAATTCTAGGTGTTAAGTTACTACCGACGAATCTAGGCGGATAACCGTTTCTTATGAGAGTTTGTCGAAGTTGAATTAGTTCTTCATCTATTGTGTCAATGGAACAGATTCACTTGATCCTAGATGATAAAGTGTTAATTAAGTTCCTCTTGCTACTCAATGGGACGCAACTATGGAAATTAATGTACTGTCCACTCCAGGTAGGTTTTCTATATATATAGATCACTGTAAATAACCATCAGGCATTCTTTTTAATCGAACATCAAGAAAATGAAATTCATTATTTGCCTCTGCTTCTAAAGTGAATTAAATTGAGGGGTGACAGCACTTGAAATTTTTCAAAATTTCATTTAGGTCTATGTCTTTCTCACAAATAATGAAAGTATCATCCATATATATATAAATGATATCTCTCAATTATTGGACGATGTACAGAATTTTCCAGATTGTCCATGAAGCAATTAGCCAAGGGAGGGCCCAATGGAGAACCCATTGCAACTCCATCTGTTCGTCTATAGAAATCATCACTAAATCTAAACTGCACGTTGAGCGTACATCGTGGAAATAGTTCTTTTAGATAATGTTTAAGGATACACATATCAAGGTTGTTGTTTTCAATATAGTCACCTAAAAATCATATAGCTTCTGTGAGTGGAACATTTGTAAAAAGCAAAGTGACATCTAATGAGATCATTTTCTTACCAATTACGTTGATATTTTTAATTGATTCGACAAAGTCAAATGAATCAAGAGAGTTATATTTATTGATATGATTTTCAACAGGTTGTAAAATGTCAACTAATCATTTAGCAGTCAAGTCATATGAAGAGTTGTTCATATCCAGTATAGGACGTAGAGGGACATTATTCTTATGAACTTTTGGGAGTCCACATAATCTTGGTACAACGGAACCAGAAGGTTTAAGATATTCAAAGAGGTCACAATTGATAATAGGCTCATCTATCATCTTCCTTAAGATTTTAATCAGCAACAATTCCGTTTATCCAGTTGTATCTTTTCTAACGGTTTCTTTAGAAAATTTGACAGGATCGGATATTATCGAAGGTATTTTGGTAACATAATCAAGACGATCCATAAAGACAATTCCTGCACCCTTGTCTTGGCGACATAACACTAAGTCCTGATTTCTCCGAAGATCATTCAATTGAGATTTATGTTCTTTTGTGAGTAATTGACTAATTGTAAGTGTTTTACATATTGATTTCAGCAGTGTACAAGAGTTGTTTTGAAATACTCATGATCTTTATTAGATACTGGAATAAGGGCATTAGTCTGACGAATGAGGCTTTCAAACTGGATTTTAGCGTTGCGTTCATGATTGTTAGTTGACGTACTACAAAATTTAGGACCAAAAGATAATGCTTGTAGCTGAATAGTCGATAATTTTATAATTGAGTAAATGGTCTAGTTGGTTTAGCGCCTGGCGCGAGACTGATAGGTCCTGGGTTCGAATCCGGCGGGGTGCGGGATCGTGGATGCGCACTGCTGAGGAGTCCCATA